AATCAATATTTAAAATTTTATTAAAAATTTTAAAATATGCAGGCAAATTTGCCTGTGTTACAATCTAAGGGATAACACCATGTGAATTTAACAACAATTTCTTTCTCGCCCTTTGTTATAGCTTTCCAAAGAAGCTTGTCTAGCTGATCTACAAGCTTTTTTTCATATGTAAATTCTATAGTTGTATCTTGTTGTTTGTATTGATTCAGATAAGGAAAAAACCGTTGTGAATTTTGTAGATTTGCTATCGATCTATAATACTCTTTTAGCCTATTAACTTCCAAATACAAAGCTTTTAATAGTCATGCCACTTGCTCTGTGTGATCTCAAATGTTTGTAGAAATGAGAGGTATGAGGTCCGTTAAGGGATCTACAATAGGTTTCTCAACATACACTGCTTCTAAAACACATACCCAAGGTCTAGCTAAGCATAAGATAAAAGACAGCCAGTTGCACTATTTAAGCAATTCCTTATTTTTTTCTTGGGTATAATATTTCGCATAAGAAGTCCCAGCCTGGGTAGTCGGATCACATTTACCAGTGCCAATTTTATTCTTTATCTTAGCAAGTAGGCGTAATACACTAAATGAATAGAAATTACATTCCAATACACCATCATTTGAAGATTCATCATCTAGGTGAATTATTTTTAATTCTTCACCAAATAATTGTCAAAATTTTTCTCTAAATTTTTTAGAACGCTTATATTCACTAGGATATATGTCTGCCATTTTATGAATGAACTTAAGAGCCTATTGATAATATTCTTTTCCTATTTCTAGATCTTCGTTATGATAATCACGCAGGAACTAATTGAAAACATCGTAGTAAACTTGTACCGGTGGGCCAACACATTTTGGAGGACGATAAATAAGTAACTGCTTATCCTTAACATGATATTTAATAAGATTACCAAGAAGTGCAAAGGATGATGGGAGAAGGTAACTTCAAATCTTTTTTACATTTCTTTCTTGTTCTGAACAGATTGGAAAAGTATTTACCCATTTTATAGTTTTTACAAACAATCAGATTGTCATACAACAGGTTACGCATGCATTTTTTAATCGTAATCTCTGATCATATATGTGATTTTGAATACAGTAATAATATCATTGTTCCCGTCATAACAATACGAAGTCGACCCTGCATTTGGAAATTTCG